TGGACAAGCGCGGGGGGGGGGGTACCCCCAGGAGGGGGGTCAACCTCGCCTCGTCGTCGCGCCACGACGGAGGTCGGAGCGCCTTCGGCGCGCGGCGGCTGCCCGCGACGGGGGTCGATGTGGGGCTGTCGGCGGGGGGGGGCGCCCCCCCGACATTAAGCACTGCACCTGGGGGGGACCAAGATCACCCTGAACGCAGCAGGCTCTTTCACGGACGCGGGAAGTCACCGCGCAGCGCGCGGTTCGAAGGAGCCCGGCATGGACGGAAAAAGTTGTCCCACCAGGTCCTCTGGGATGAGGAAGTCTAACAATGCTCATCCCTCCTCTTCCGACAAAAAAAAACTCTTCCTTTCGGGGAGGGGTCCCCCCCCCCCCTCCCTGATATTATGTTGGGCGGCCCGCGATGTGTCAGAGGGGCCCCTGTTCGCCCTGGATGGCTCCAACAGGAGCCCTGCGAGGCCTCAACATGGCATTCAAGGCGGTTCCTGAATGTGCTGGTGAGGATACTTTTTGGTCCACGCGCGCGCGAAGACGAGTCGAACGCCGAGCGTGCTAAGCCAGGACGCGCTCCGTAGCAAAGAGAAAAACGGCTGGTGGGGATACTTTCTGATCGCATGCGCACCGGGAGTCGCCAGACGCGGTCCAAAGGTCGCAGCAAGCGGGCTACGAACGAATTACGCACCAGAAGGGGGGGAGGGAGAAAAAGAGAGGACAGCGGAGGGAGGAACAAACAGGAGGCGGGCCTCGCTGCCGCTCAGAAGAGGGCGCCGTCGACTGGGGGGGAGCCGCCAGGCGGATTGCATCGCCAAAATGGCGGGGAATTCTGGTTGAGCGACACAGTTGGTGGGGATACGCGAAGCGTGAAGAACTTCCTGATGCGCGGCCCCACTGCGAGACAAACGCGTCCCACTGCTCGCAAAGTAGCTACTCGCAGAGGGCCTGGATCTGCGGCAGGGGGGGGCACGCTCCATGAGGTCGAGGCAAACATGTGCTTCCCAGACGTTTGCGAGTGGGCACTTTGCGAGCAGTCTCGGTGAACTCTGCTCTCCTCCTCGGACCCCTGGCCCCTCCATCTGCTGCAGGGGGCGCAGGGCCTTGCTGGAGGCCCCCGCCTTGCCCTGCGCCGCCGCGTCCGCGCCTGCCTTCCTCTGCGGGAGCGCGGGCGGCAGCTGCACCGTCGGGATTTCGGGGGCGTGAAGGTAGGGGGAAAACAAACCTACCTCGCTTTTGACCACCCTCGCTTCCAAGAGATACCAAACGATGCCAAACTACGGCCTGTACTGGTCAGGCCGCTTGACGAGGAGGCGCGTGGTATGACTTGGTTTTGCCTGGAAGCGAAAGCGGGGTAGGTAATTCACGCTGAAGGAGCAGACTAGGGGCGAGGAGAGAGCGAGTGAGGCATGGCTCGTGCAAGCAGACAGAGCCACCACCGCCGCCAGAACTCCAATGGAGCTCCGCTCCGGAAGACCACCCCCCCGAGCTGGTGGCACTCCGCTCCCGGCACCCGCTGGGGGCGCGCCCAAGACAGTGTGCCACCAGCTCCGCGGGGGTGCAGCGGCCTGCCCCCCTAGCTGGTGGTAGTGGCTCTCCTCTGGCGCTCTGGTGAATGGAGGGAAGCAGGGGGGGAGGGAGCGAGAGGAGACGAGGAGGTGCGCGGACAGGTGCCAGGGCCCAGGGGGAAGACCTTGCAGTGGTCGGTCTGTGGCGAGTGCGATGGGTGGTCCCAACGCGGCGTGCGAGGCGGGAAAAGCCGCAGCGAATGCAGGGCAGCCCGAAACCATCGAAGACAGCCCACAGGTGCACCCCGAGAGGCTCCCAAGAGGCCCCCACGAAAGAGCCCCAAGCAAGAGGCCCTGAAGAAAACCCAATCGGCAACGCAACAACCATGCAACCCTCCGGCGATGCCCCTGCGCAGACGCGCTGCTTCCGTCGACGGGCGGCAGCGCAGGCGAGATGCTCAGCGGCTCATTGCGGCATCAGGCTTGGGCCTCCGGCCTGGCCCAGTCAGGCCTTTGGTGAGAGCGGTGGCATTTGTCGCGCCGTGATGTGGACGGGGTCGTAAGCCCCTGAGTGACCCGGCGTGGCTCTAGTGCAGCTCTCGACTCCCTGGACAGAGTGGGCTGTCCCTCTTCTTCTCCCATTCGCATTCCTTGCCTCTCTTCCCCGTGCCGCTTGTCATACGGCTGTCTGGTGGCGGTGCAAGCAGAAACGCAGCAGGAGGGGGAGGAGGAGGAGGAGGAGGAGGAGGAGGAGGAGGAGGAGGAGGAGGAGGAGGAGGAGGAGGAGGAGCAGGAGGAGGAGGAGGATAGCGGGCAGTTCCGAGGCACGGGCGCTGAGGGCTTCATCTGGCCCGGCGGCGGCTGCGAGCTGGCCCTGGGCTTGCCAGGTGGCCCCGCCTGGCCGAGGCAGCCCATCTGTCGCGCGAGAGGGCCTGCTGGCTGACAGAACGAAGGGGGGGGGGCCCGATGCGGAGAAACTAACGTGGCAGGGAGGACACGGATCCTGAGGGAATCGGGCCAAGACCCCTGGGCGCAAAGCCCCCGAGATGCCTCCCAGAGGCTCCCGAGAAGCTCCCAAAGAGGCCCCAAGAGTGCCCCCAGAGGCTCCCAAGATGCCCCCTCCTCCTCCTCCTCCTCCTCCTCCTCCTCTTCCTCCTCCTCCTCCTCATCATCATCATCCTCATCATCATCCTCCTCCTGATCTGCCCCGACATCCTCCCCAACATGTTCCCCGAAACGTTTCGACCACGGCTGGGGGAACACAGGGTCCCATAGCTTGGCAGAGCTCTTGCCAAAACTCTCGGCCGCATGGGGCGCTTCCAAAAGGCAGGGGGCGGCGGTGACTCGCCGTAGGCGTCTTCGATACAAGGCTCCCATGATTTGCTAACTCAGGACGACCCCATCAGCGCGTTGCTGCTGAAAAAAGGCCAGGTTCTTGAATGACAACCAACAGCTTGAAAGACAAACTGACAGGAGAGTGACCAGCAAAAAAATGCTGGGCGAGCCATACGCACAGCATGATAAAAGACGGCGCGCGCGACGCCGATACTCTCCATCCCTCCCGAATCCTGCGCCCGCATCGCCCCCCCACCGAGTCCCCTCCTGGAAGGAGGAGGGTGGAGGAGGGTGGTGGAGGAGGAGGAGGAGGAGGAGGAGGTTCCTCACATCGCGCCCGCCCCCCCCCCCCCGCTCGCCCGACACGCCGCCCCCCCCGCGTGCCGGTCCTGCCGCCCTGCTTCGGCGCGGGCTTCGGGGCCGCGGGGCTCGACGCGGGGCCCTTGGGCGCCGGGCCCTTGGGCGCGGGGCCCTTGGGCGCCGGGCCCGCCTTGGGCGCGGCCGCGCCAGGGGTCGCGGCGCCAGCGGCGGCCTTTGCCTGGGGCGGAGGCGCAAGGGAGGGGAGGGGGAGGAGGGGGAGGGGTGGGAGGGGGAGGGGGGGAGGGGGAGGGGGACAAGCTAGGCGCGCTCGCGTCATATCTGACATCCTACCCCTCCCTCCCATCCCTTACCATGGCGTAGATCCCCTCTCTACTCGCACAGTCGGATGTCGAGCAGGGTAATGGTCCCGAAAGGGTACGCGATGCATTGTAGAGCACGGTATGGCATGGCGTAGAACGCGGCGTAGAAGAGCACCGCAAAGCGTAGTATGTCACAGCATGGCGAGGCGTGGCGTAGTGAAGAATTGCACCACAAAGTTTTGCAACGCAAAGCATGCCATCGCACAGCAGCCCCGAACATAACATTGCATAGCATGGCGTTGAAGATCAAAGCGTAGCATGGCATAGCACGACGTGGCATTTAAGCACTGCATATCACAGCTTCAGCTGAAGGCATGGCATCGCGCAGCGGAACGCAACCTAGCATTGCATTGCATGCCGTGGCATGGCACGGGAAATGACGCCAGCGCTGCAGCGGGAGCACGATTCGGAACGAGCGGAAGCGCGGAAATGAGGCCAGCGCTGCAGCGGGAGCACGATTCGGAACGAGCGGAAGCACGGAAATGAGGCCAGCGCTGCAGCGGGAGCACGATTCGGAACGAGCGGGGCCCGAAAATGAGGCCGGCGCCTCAGCGAGAGCAGCATTTTGAAAAAAATGCAGGCGAAAACCCAACTCCGGGGAATCCTGTGTGTAAAAAACAATACGCGGGGGGGGGGCGAACACTCCCAACCCGTCATCAGGGGAAGGAGGAGAGTAGTATTCATATTGAGTAACTGTGGAGGGGGGAGGGGGGGGAGGGGGAGGGGGGGAGGGGGGAGGGGAAGGGGGGAGGGGGGAGGAGGAGGAGAGGGAGAGAGGGGAGGGGGGGAGGGGAAGGGGGGGGGAGGGGACAGGGTGTGAAGGCCGAGGCGGAGGCGTCAGGGAGGGGAAGGGGGGGAGGAGTCGGCGAAGTGAGTGAGGGGGGGAGGGGGAGGAGGGGTTGGGTTGTTGGACAAGGCTGGTAGGAAGGGGAAGGTGGTGGAATAGCAAACGAACATGCTTTTAATCTGTTGACTGTAGCGCCATAGTTGGGCTTAGCGGCGAGTGCTGCAGTAGGTCCACACTCGGAGGTCTAAAAGTCTCTGGAAGCCGAACACTGCAAGTGAGTGTTTTGGTCTGCGTTACTGCCATTGTTGTGAGGGGGAGGCGGGGGGAGGGGACAGTGTGCGCAGGCGGAGGCGGAGGCGGAGGCGGAGGCGGAGGAGGAGGAGGAGGAGGAGGAGGAGGAGGAGAAGGAGGAGGGGGGCGGAGGGGGAAGGGTGCGCAGGCGGAGGGGGGCCCACCCGCCCCCAGGCGCAGTGGCTTCGACAGGAAACGCAACCACTGGCGTGGACAAGTGAATCTGGACCTGCAGGGCTGCAGTAAACGAGTGCCTGTGCAAGTCACGAGAGAGAAGCTGCTCGGAGAAGAAGCTGGGCGTGAGGATGTTCCCTCGGCCTACGCCCGCATCACCGAGAACGAGGACGGGGAGACCCGCCCCAGGGCCGCTGAGCGCGGAGTGGGCGCGTCCGCAGGTCATTTGCGTAAAACGACGCGAAGATCGGGACAAAATCGGATCGGGATAACTCGAAATCTGAGAATCGGCGGGTTTGGAGGATGTATTGGGCGCCGCGGCCGCTCCAGAGCGTCCCGGAACGCTCTGAGAGCGCTCCGGAACGCTCTGGAGCGATTTATCCCGATCCTAGCCCTGTTTTACTACGCCGCAATCCTCACTTCTGAGGAGTCTTCCAGGGGCCCGGCCCCCAAACGCCCAAATCTCTCGGAGCTTGTGGTGCTTCCCTTGTGGGTGTTCCCGCGTGCCCCCTGGGCTCCGGGAAGTCCTGCCGCATGACCTTCTCGGGCCCCAGAAGGCCCCGAACCGCCGAACGATCGTCCCAAGACGCTCAAGATTGCCCCCAGATGACCCCAGAGACCTCCAAGACGCCCCAACCTCCAAGAGGCCTTGCGAGAGGGCCCCAAGAGGCCAGAATCATTGGTTTTCATTCGATGTTCGAAGGATGTTGGCAATCCCGCGGCCAACGAGGCCCCCAAGATCGCCCCAAGCCAGCCCAAGAGGCCCACAAGAGGGCCCCAAGACGAACCAAGAGGATCCAAGACGGCCCCAGGCCCACAACGCGGCCCAAGAGGGTCCAAAGACGGCCCCAAGAAGGGGCCGAGATGGGAAACCCGAACGGACATTTCGAGCCCTCGGGCCCGAGGGGCCCCCAAGAGTCCCCAACAGGCCCTAAGAGGCCCCCAAGAGGCCCCAAGAAGCCCCCCAAGAGGCCCCCAAGAGGCCCCAAGAAGCCCCCTAGAGGCTCCCAGAGAACCCTGACCCACAACCCAGGCATGGTTGCGGGATGGGCCGAAGGCCAGGAGATAGACGAGAACGACGATGACGAGGAGGAGCTTATCTCCGCTCAAGAGCCAGTGAGGATAGCTGCCATCGCGGGCCTCCTTCAGCAGCAACTCGCGCCAGTGACCAGTGACCTCGTCCGTTAACGGGCTCCGCAGGGAGTGCGCTAAGATGAAGGAAGCGCTGAGCGCACGCTTGGCCCACATGGAAGAGCGCCTCAACCTGAACCAGGCCAGGGTGGACAAGCTGAAACGCTTGCGCACGTCCTTGAAGCAGACCGTGCGTCCGGCTTTGGATTCCATGGAGGCCAAGATCCGCGATTGCATGCACAAGTACATGACAAACGAGGGAACCAGGGAAGGTCGGGGCGGATAACATCGTCAAGGCTCATTCGGATGTCTTCGAGAAGCGTGCCGTGACCATGGTGCTTGGAGATGTGGATGCCTTGGAAGATTTAGGGAAAACTACGGAATGATTACAGGATTAGCTCTTTAAGGAAGCTGATTTGCAGAGCTCTGCTACCCCTGCCAAAAGTACTGCGAACTTCTTGCAGGTACGCACACTGGACATCATGCTGACCAGCCCGGCGCTACTTTACACTGGATCTAAGAGAAGGTCGTGGGGGGGTACGCACTTGACCCCACGCGTGGTGTCACGTAATTTGGTGCACCTGGCGCACTCTGTGCGCGTCGCACACGTGGCACACCTAGCGCGGCTGGAGCATGTGGCACATCCGGCGCGGCCCATGTGGCGCGCAAGGCGTGCACGGCGCGCATGGGCGATTGGGGCACCTGGCACGCGTGACGCACCCATCGAGCGTCGCGCCCCTGGCATCCGCATTGGTTCTCAAGTGGTTCTCCATCCAATGGAGACGTCTGCCTATGCTGAGTCTCGCTGGCTGCGTACGTGGGGGAAGGGGGGGTGAGAGTAAGCGAGACAGCTTGCGGCGTTCCCGTTTGCGATTTGACCCCTTCCCCTACGCCATCCATTGGTCTGGACGGGGGGGGGCCGACAAAGTAAGGCGCCTAAGATGCTCCAGGATGTCTCCAAGAGAACTTCGGATGAGCCAAGATGGCTTCCAAGGTGGGGTGGCTCACTATAGACCAACATGGCTCAAGATGACGTCAAACAGGCCGAAAGTGGCCACCAGACCATCCCAAGACGGCTCCACGTGGCCACAGAACCTTCCAAGAAGAACCTCCCAAGGAGACCCTCGAGAGGCCCAAATCCGTCGAATGCCAAAGGCTGTGTGTTCCCGCCTCATGGTATCGGATCGGCCTCTGAGCATCAGAAGGGCCCCAGGACCAAGAGAGAGCCCCAGAAGGGGCCTAGAAGGGGCCTAGGATAGGAGGACAGGGAGGAGGAGGAGGACAGGGAGGAGGAGGAGGAGGAGGAGGACAGGGAGGAGGAGGAGGAGGAGGAGGAGGAGGAGGAGGAGGAGGAGGAGGAGGAGGAGGAAGATGTCAAAAACGGCCCAAAAGGCCCCAAGGCCGCCCTAAAAAGGGGGCTCCCCACCCGACTGGCGGCCTTCTTGCCCTTTGGCTGCTCCCTGCCAGTCCGGCAGGCGACGTCCCAGTAAGTCTTGATCTCGGCAGGTGTGTACCTGAGGGCGGGGGGGAGGGGAGGAGAGGCAGGGAGGGAGGAATAGAGAGGAAGGAGGAGGAGAATGAGGAGGAGGAGGAGGAGGAGGAGGAGGAGGAAGAGACTGAGGAGGAGGGAGGGAGGAGAGAGGAAGGGGGGGGGGGCCAGGGCCGAGCATCGGAGCTTGGCTTGCCCTCGCAGATTCCTGCCAGGAAAGAGGAGGACGCGGAGGAGGAGGAGGAGGAGGAGGAGGAGGAGGAGGAGGAGGAGAAGGGAGAGGAGGAGGAGGAGGAGGAGGAGGGATAGGAGAAGGAGGAGGAGGAGGAGAAGGACAGGGAGGAGGAAAGGAGAAAAAAAGGAGGGAGGAGCACACGGGAGAAGGGAGGAGGGACGAAAAGGAGGAAGAGGGAGGAGGTGAAGCTGAAGTTGACTAGAAGGGGTCAGGAGGGCCCCCTCGCCAAAACGGGCGCTAACGAATCTGACCCCCCCAGGGGAAGCTCACAGGGCGGGGGGGCCCTCCCTGACCCGCGCATGCGCAGGAGACGGATCCCGAAACTTGGAACCTGGCCGCGCAACTCGGGGTCATCAGGCCGTAAAGGGCTCCGCCTCTGCATCAGATCAAGGAGCTACAGAATATGCCACACAAGTATACAAACAGACGCCCTCCGACGCACTTTGCATGCATCTTTTGGGAGGGCGGCGGTGCATGAAGTCGCTGGTTCTCTCAGTGGTGATTTATACACCGCCACTCTTCCCACAGAGATTGTCTGGTAAAAAAAGAAAAATGCCATAACCTTAAACCGTTGGCGCTCCGCGCGGAGCGCCAAAAGCTGATGCTTATGGCGTTTGTCTCTTCGGATTGTCTGGTGTAATGTGTCTGTGTATATTGTTTGTGGCGGACAAAAACACCAGGCCGTTCCTTGACGAACTGGCCCGGGCGCCGCCGGGGGAGGAGAAGGAGGAGTAGGACGAGGAGAAGGGGGAGGAGGAGGAGGAGGAGGAGGAGGAGGAGGAGAAAAGGAGGAGGAGGGGAAAAGGGGAGGAGGAGAGGAGGAGGAGGAGGAGGCGGAGGAGGAGGAGGAGGGGGAGGAGGAGGAGGAGGAGGAGGAGGAGGTGAGGAGGAGGAGGCGGAGGGAGCGGAGGAGGGGGAGGAGGAGGAGGAGGAGGGGGAGGAGGAGGAGAAGGAGGAGGAGGAGGAGGAGGAGGAGGAGGAGGGGGAGGAGGAGGAGCAGGAGGAGGAGGAGGAAGAGGGGGAGAGGAGGAGGATGAGAGGAGGAGGAGGAGGAGGAGGAGGAGGAGGAGGGGAGAGGAGGAGGAGGAGGGGGGAGGGAGGAGGGGAGAGGAGAGAGGAGGAGGAGGAGGGGGAGGAGGGGGTGGAGGAGAAAAAAGAGGAGGGGGAGGAGGAGGGGGGGGAGGAGGAGGAGGAGGAGGAGAGGAGGAGGAGGGGGAGGGAGGGGGGAGCAGGATGATGATTTGAGGAGGAGGAGGAGGAGAGGAGAGGAAGGGAGATGAGGAGGAAGGAGGAGGAGGAGGAGGGAGGAGGAAGAGAAGGAGTAGGAGGGGGAAGGCGGAGGAGGGGAGGGGGAAGGAGGAGGTGGAGGAGGAGGAGGAGGTAGGAAGGGGAGAAGGGAGAAGGAGGCGAGGAGGAGGGGAGGAGGGGAGAAGGAGAGGAGGAGGAGGAGGGGGAGGAGGCGGGTGGGAGGAGGAGGAGGAGGGGAGGAGGAGGAGGAGGAGGAGGAGGAGGAGGAGGAGGAGGAGGAGGAGGAGGAGGAGGAGGAGGAGGAGCTCGCCGCCTGGGGCCCAGAGCGGGCCATTGGGGTCCCTCTCCCTGCCGAAGAGAGGGCTGCGGCCGGGCCCCAGGCCGCAAGGGGCTCCCCCGAGCTGGTCCTGGCCGCCGTCCTCGGCAGCAGCTCCGCCGCGCAGCGACGAAAGCCGCGGACGCCCCGCGCGGCGGACGAGGAGCGACGAAAGCCGCGGCCGACCCGCGCGGCGGTCGAGGGCGACCTGGAGCCTGCCAGGGGATCGCCCTCTGCGCAGCCCGGACCTCTGTTTTCGCTTGCCGCCACCGCGCCAAAGAGCACCCCTCCGCCGTGCGGCCTGCACAGCCAGGACCTCTGAATTTGCAGCCCCGGGGCACTGGAGCCCCGGCGAGGCCGGTCTGAGGCAGCGGAAGAAAACGAGACCATCGTTTGCACCCAGTGGGCACGTGGGGCCGCTCACGTGCTGCGGCCATGCGGGGCAACTATCCGACAGGGCTGTACCGTGGCCCGCTGGCCGCGTGACTGAGGAGAGACGCCAGAGGCAAGGCGAGGCGAGACGGGCAACGAGGGTGCCGTGCCAGAAGGCCCAGCACACAGTGGAATCGGGCCTGATGTAGCAGTGCCCCACCTGCTGGCACAATGAAGTGGGGCGAGCGCACGGGGCACACGTTCCGGTAGAATGTGCTCAGTTCCTCCAAGGCCCTGAGCAAAAGTGAAGCGGGCCTGGTGTAGCGGTGCCCCACCTGCTGGCGCAAGGCCCGTGGCGTCCGCGCTGAGGTGTGGGGAGAGCGCATGGGGCACACGTTCCGGTAGAATGTGTTCAGCTCCTCCAGCGTGTACGACCTGCCGTCCTGGCGGGGCGGCGGCCGCACGCCCTGAGGCGGTGCTGGCGCAGCCGCCGGCAGCGCCTCTCCTCGTCCCCCCTAGATCTCCTCCAGCCTCCCCCCATCCTCATCGTCATCCATGCCTTCACCTCCTCCTTCACTCTCCCGGTTCTCCCCTTCCGTCTGATCCCCGTCCTCCTCCTCCTCCTCCTCCTCCTCCTCTCCTCCTCCTCTCCTCCTCCTCCTCCTCCTCCCCTCCTCCTCCTCCTCCTCTTCCGCCTCCTCTTCATATTACCATTAATCGTGTTCTAATTTATTTTGTTTATTCCTCTTCTTCTCCCCCCCTCCTCCTCCTCCTCCTCTCCTCCTCCTCCTCATCATCATCATCATCATCATCATCACCACCACCACAACCAACAACAACAACTTCACAACACCGCCACACATCATCATCTCATCTCATCATATCATCATCATCAATCATCATCAGCATGCAGCAGCAGCGCATCAGCATCATCATCATCATCATCATCATCATCATCATCATCATCAGCATCATCATCATCATCATCATCATCACATCAGCAGCAGCATCAGCATCATCATCAGCATCATCAGCATCATCAGCATCACCCATCATCATCATCACCACCACCACCACTATCATCACCACCATCATCATCATCATCATCATCATCATCATCATCATCATCATCATCATCCTCTTCATCCTCCTCCTCCTCCTCATCCTCATCCTCATCCCCATCCTCATCCTCATCCTCTTCCTCATCCCCGTTGTCCTCGTAATCCTACTCATCTCCACATTCACCCGAAAACTGTACGCTCACATGACACCACCATCCTCTTCCTCCCTCTCCTCCTCATCCTCCTCCTCGACTTCCTCCACGTCATCATCGTCGTCAACACCATCATCATCATCATCATCATCATCATCATCATCATCATCATCATCATCATCATCGTCATCAGCATCATCAACATCAGCAGCAGCATCATCATACTAATGATCATCATCATAATCATCATTATCAGCATACTAATCCTCCTCATCATCAGCATCATCATCGGCATCAGCATCACCACCATCATCATCATCATCATCATCATCATCAGCAGCATCAGCATCAGCATCAGCATCATCACCATCATCATCATCGTCAGCATCATTAGCTTCATCAGCATCATCAACAGCAGCATGATCATCATCACCATCATCAATACTTTCAGCATTATCATCATCATCAGCATCATCATCAGCAGCATCGACAGCATCATCGTCATCATCATGATCAGCATCCATCTCCTCATCCTCCTCGTCGTCGTCACCATCGCCTCATCATAACCACCGCCACCACCCCATCATCATCATCATCATCATCATCATCGTCATCATCATCATCAGCAGCAGCAGCATCATCATCATCAGCAGCAGCAGCATCATCCTCATCATCATCATCATCATGGTCATCATTATCAGCATCATCATCATCATCCGCATCAACCTCATCATCATCATCATCATCATCATCATCATCAGAATCAGTATCAGTATCATCATCATCATCATCATCGTCATCATCATCATGATCAGCAGCAGCAGCAGCACCACAATCACCATCATCATCAGCATCATCATAGCCATCAACACAACCATCAGCATCATCATCATCAGCAGCATCAGTATCATCATCATCATCATCAGTATCATCATCATGATCATCATCATCATCATCATAAACATCTTCATCAGCATCATCATCATCATCGTCATCAGCATCGTCATCATCATTAACATCACCATCATAAGCATCATCATCAGCAGCATCATCCTGATAACCGACAGTATCATCATAACCATCATCAGCATCATCATCACCGTCATCGTCGTCGTCATCATCGTCGTCGTCATCATCGTCATCAGCATCAGCAACATCCAACAGCATCATCATCATGATCATCATCCTCATCCTCATCATCATCAGCAGCAGCATCGTCAGCATCATCCTCATCCTCATCATCGTCAGCAGCATCAGCATCCTCATGATTGTCACCAGCCGTCATGATCAGCATAGTCATCTCATCATCATCAGCAGCAGCATCAGCATGAGCGACATCAGCATAATCATCATCGTAGTCATGGTCATCGTCGTCATCGTATTCGTCGTCATCATCCTTATCGCCATTATCATCATCATCATCATCAGCAGCAGCAGCAGCATCATCAGCATCAAGTGCAGCAGGCCCGCATTGAGCACTACATGATGCTTGCTCGTGCCGAGGCCGCTGGCGGCCGACGCGCTCCCAAGATGAGTATCAGCAATGTGTACCGTGGACGAGCGCGGATGAAAGCTGGCTCCGCGACGGGACTGGACGAGGTCGCAGTCGAGATGATCCGCCGGCTCTCCGCGGCCTCCGTGGCGAAGGTGTTCGTGATGTGCGCCCGTCGCTACGAGGGTCTCGACGCCGGGCAAATCGAGACGTGGAGCAACATCTTGACGTGCTTCCTGGCCAAGGAGGTCGACAGCCGGACGGTGAAACAGCACCGTGGAATCCGCCTTTATCAGCTACGCTTAAATGGTACACGAATGTGATTATCGACTTATGGGAGAACCAGACTGTTGCACACGGAGAGAATAAATCGCACCCCGCACAATCGCACACACCACCGTCCTATCAAGCAGTATGCAACTTCGGCTTCAAGAAGGACCGGAGTTGCAGCCAAATCGTCGCTCCACTTCGAAATCTAATCAGCAAGTCGTTCGAGTGGCCCAACAAAAGCCCGCTGTACATCTTCAACGGGGACGTCCTCATGGCATTCGACCTCCTCACTCCCCCGGTTGTGGCGCGCAGCTTGGAGGCTCGGGGCACGGCGCCTCTACTGATCGCCGCCCTTCTGAGAGAGGGGAAAGACTTATGGATGCAGTGCTGCTTCAGAGACGTCGACGACGCCCCCTGGATCCGCTACGCTCGCTGCGAGAAGACCGGCGCCACTGACACCACTCTCAAGTGGAACGTGGTTACGGAGGAGGTCTTCAAAGCTTGTGCGCAGAAGTGGGCCATGAAAGATATGGGTTTCCGAGCTTCCGGCCGCCGCTACACCCACAGCTCCTGGGTGGACAATTGGCTGCTCTACGCCTCCTCCCTCAGCATGCTTAAGGCGATGGTGACTGACCTGACCCAGGAGATGTTGATGCGAGGCTTGTACTGGAAAGCGCAGAGCCTGGAATGGATATCGTCCTCGCACGCCGGGCCGACGCCCCAGTGGACAGTAGAAATCCCGATACCTGCTGACTTTGTCATTGCACCTCCACCGAGCTGCGTGCAGACCATCACCGACCCGCACTACTTCGCCCAATGGAGACCACCCACGCGGCTGGCGAAGCTTGATGTGCCCCGGACGCGCCACATGGCACTCTTGGGCTCGATGGTGGCGGACGATGGTAGCAGCTTGCCGGCCCTGGAACACCGACTCCATATTGCAGTAAAGCATTTCTGAGCGGACAAGGCCTTGAGATCGAATGCCCTACCTGTTAGGGAACGCTTGCGAAGATATGCCGAATCGATTCCCTCCTCGCTGTGTTACGGCGCGGAGTGTTGGGCACTGAACAAAACCTTGGTGCAACGAGCACGCCATGCGGAAGGAGGTTTTTTGAGGAAAATCGCGAGGGTACGGAAGCGACCACGAGAGAGCTGCCATACTTACCTCAAGCGCTCAACACGCACTGCAAGGAGACTATACACCTCTTTGGGGCACCGCCTGGTGGAAGAACAGCTTCTCATGCGTGTGCACCATCTTACTGGGCATCTTCGTTTACATGGGGATTCCCACGAACATTGGGTCACTGATGGGATGAATCACCTCTCTGAGGCAGGCTGGCGGGTGAGGTGCGGGGTGAGCCGAGCCCTGCAAAGCCACGGCAAATGGGTTACCGACCGCACGGAGAATCGCTGGCAGCACAGAACAGGGTGGAAGCACCGGACTACCTGGGAGGACTGCTTCATCGATTGGAAAAGTACGTTTTGGCGTGACCTCCTCAATGACTCATGGGACCAGACTCGGGACGATTTCGTCTACGCGACGCTCCAACGATGGGATATGAAAGGGCGATCTTTGCAGAGGGATCGTCTAAAACGTGCACGGGCAGCGAGCGCAGCAGCCGTAACGACACAACCGCGAGTTTACGTAGAAGAGCCCATCAAGTGATATCTTGGCTTGCCGGCCTCTCCCGAGCCACATCCCATGGCTATGCGAGGAGGGTGGCGTCCCTCCAGGACCGACTTCACCACGAGTGGGCTGCGGCACTCTTCTTGTCAGCTGAGCCGGGGGGCCACCTGGCGACGCACATCTTCCGGGAGGGCAACAAACTCGCCGACGCCGAGGCCACCCGAGCACTATCCACAAAGCGCCATCATTTTGAACAGCAACTGTCATGTCTCTGGACAACACCGACACCATGGAAACTGCAAGGGTTGTTCGACGGCGGCAGCCGCAATGGGCACTACGGCTGCGGCTATGTCTTGCGTTGCTGGCGCGACGACCTCGCCGTGCCGGACTGGGCGGTACTAGCCAGAGGCAGTTATTATATATGACGCAATACGACGGTGACGAATGCTGAACTCACGGGCTGCGAAAAGCTGGTCAACCTCATTTGCAAAGTACTCCGATGTAACTCTAAGCTGGAGCTCGCCCACTTGACGATGTGACCCCGGCGGCCTTGTGCGGGCTCCGTGCAGCTGGCGGGTGAGATTCAAGAGAATTCCAGATGCCTTTCATGACTCATGATACAATGGCTGCAAATCAAATCAGCATCATCAGCATCGTCAACAGCATCATCATAAGCCGCATCAAAAGCATCATCACCATCATCATCGTCATCATCATCGTCAACAGCAGCGTCATCAGCAGCAGCGCCTTCATCATAAGCATCATCAGCATCTTCAGCATGATCGTCATAACAATCATCAGCATCATCATCGTCATCATCTGCATCATAAGCATCATCAGC